TTGAGAGAACAAAATGGCTGGAGGGAGAGGAGTTTCCTGGTTTAGGCTGAGAATGTACGGAAATTAGGGTAAAAAGCTTACTCTAATATCCCATATATTAAAACGCCAAAACGGCGTCGTTTAGATCCCCCCCAAAACGGCAACGTTCAGATAGCTGCGGATCTGAGTTTGAGGTTGTTAGGGAGTAACTGTGTGCGTAGCCATCCCAACTTTGTTTCTTTTCGATTTGGTCCTTAAATCGAATTTTATTATCATTTTAATTTCGTCCCCTTACTTTCAGCGTGTTTCATTTTAATCCAGTTTCATGTTAGGGCTATTTCGTATTGTTTTTACATTGGATGTGTAATTTTAAAAGCTTTCAATTTGGTCCTATGTAGCACTTTGGTTGTATTGTGTTTGGAGTACCAAGAAATGAAATATTTATGAAAATAGCCTTCTGTTTATTGTTTTTATATTTTAGTCCCTTTAATATTTCAGGTATGATTGTTAGGTTAATTTAGAATTATTTTAAGTGTATGCAAGTGGGTATTATTTTGAGCATGTAATTGGTATGAACATACTTAGGCGCGTTTCTTTTTAAAGCATGTTAGCCTCGTTTACTTTAATCGCATGTTTAATTAATTTTTGCATTAACATCATTTTGTATGATTGCACGATGGCCTCACGTGTATAACTCAACTTGATTACATAATCGGATTAAGGGTAATACCCTTTTAATTTAAAACTGTCAGAATAGTTTTTCTTAACTTACAGGAAAGTTGTACTTAACGGTTTTAAATTACAAGTGTATCCCGTCATTATCACCAAAGAATCGATTCTTCACTTTAAAATTTGGGAGTGAAAGAAAAAGAAATGTTCGGCTATTTAAATTTGTTGAGAAAAGGTCGTTAGAACTGACCTAAAGATTTGATATCAATATATTTAAATAATCGAACATTCTTTATCTTTTTAATGGCTTGGTAATTTTAATTTAACTTATTTCGTTATTTTTGAATGTTACAAAATTAGCATTTTTGTTGTTTTAAGGGATCATAAATCAAATTAACTCCGAACTTGTGAAATTCGTTACAAAGACATTAATTAATCGACTAGGTACCGATTTAGGGCGTTGTGGGGGTGCTAATCCTTCCCCACACGTAACCGACTCCCGAACCCGAATTTTGGTAATGTAGACTATAAATTTGTCGTTATAATTAAAATCAATTTTTATTTAAAATGACAATGTTTTTGGGTGCCCAATCACACCCTAATCAAAGATTGGTGGCGACTCCTCGAACCGTATATTTTTATCGTTAAGGAATTTCCAAACCTTCGAAACGAGAGATTTCTAAAATCGCATTGTTTCTAATTAAAAAACAATACATAAAGAGAAATAATTAAAATGATGTGGTTTTCGAATCTCGCCCCCGTTTAAAAATCGTTTCGACAGTTGAAGAATCGAAAAAGAAAATGAAAGAACACAAGAATTTTAACGAGGTTCGGCAATGTGCTTACGTCCTCGGTGCCTAGGCGGCGCTAGAATTTTTATTCAATGTGCTCACTCCGCTCCATCCTCTGTCCTCTTTACTGGTATATTTATGAGCCATACCTATCAAATATATTTAATATATGTATTTTATCTATAAACTTGCGCAATATTATTTTGTATTGGGAATTCATGGAAGTGCCCCTTAACTGACATGCAAGGTATTTTTGAGAATTGTTCGTGCAAAATAATACCCCTGATATTTTCTAAAAAAAGATCATAATTTAAATGTATATTCGAATTTGCTAATTTCAATATTTTGATGATGTATAATCTTTTCGGTACCGATTTCGGGCGTTGTGGGGGTACTAATCCTTCCCCACACGTAATCGACTCTCAAAACCTTTTTCAAAATGAATTTCTGGTTAAACACAAATCATTTTTTATTTTTTAAAATTATTTTAAAATGTAATTTTAGGTGTTCAACCTACCTAACCCAAAAGTCGATTGTGACTTCAAAAATATTTTTTATTTTATTTTGAATCCCAACCTTTTCCCAAGATTAAATAATAATTTTTTTCTTTTTATTAAAATAACACTTAAAAAATTATTTATCAAAACATCACTTGTTTCTACCACATTGGGCGAAAGCATGGCCATGTGATAGCGTATTTTGAAAAACTCTTTTTTAAGAAAACGTTTTTACATACATGAAAAGTCATATGAGTTGTTTCTCCAAACGCTGTTGTTATTTTAGACCTACCACATAAGCAAAAGGTATTTCTTTAAGGATTGATTTTTTAAAAGACGTTGTTATGTAGGTGTATCTTCTTCATATATGACAGAAATAAATATCATTTGAAAATATTTTTTTTGGATACTATTTTAAGAAAAAAATATTAAAAAGGTATCATTTTAATAATTTAGCTCAAACATATTGACGTCGAGGTCCTTTTTTTCTTACAATCCTCAAATGAGAAGTGATAAATGGTTAGCACTACAAAACACACTACGGAATTGCAATTTGGACAATGCTTTGAGTGCTTCAACATACCATTAAGGACCCCACTAGATATTTCTTGAGATGTTTGTCTCCTTGAAGAGGAGAAAAAGTCACATATAGAACTTAGGCCCTAATACTTGCTGATATGTAGTTAGATGTTTGAAATAGTTTAAACCAAAGTAAGTTCATACGCGTGTATTATTAATATATTTTCTGTTTACAAGTGACGACACAACTTAATGACCATCATCATGGTATCTTCTTTTCTATAATTTCTCTACTCTATTCATTTCCTACAACAATATCAATTGCATTGCTATAAATAGAAATGCCTCGACACTTAATACATAATATATTTATGTTAAGACTCTCAAATACTTTAAGATTTTATTTCGTTAAGTGAAAAAAAAAGAATAAAATCCATCGATTGATTTCAGTGGTTCAAGGAAATAGTATTTTCTTTAGAGGTCTTGTGTTCGATCAGTTATGTCTATAGGGTGTATATGTGTTGTCAATAGATTAATAAAATTCTAAATATATTATCTTATAATCAACCCAGATTACTTAAAATAGAATGAGAGATGAAGTCAAATAGTGAGAATAAAGTAAATTTTGTGTATTTGGTAAGAAAAAAAAGTGAAAGGAAAAAATGAAGAAATAATCATTTTCTATCCTCGTGTGTTAAAATAAATGATTTTAATTTGAAAATATATAATGAAAATGTTAATTTTCATTTTTTTCACATTTTTAATCATAAATTTTTATTCTTCCAAATTTCTTTCCACACTATCAAATAGCTTCTAAACCCATCTTCGTCATTCCTAAAATCAAATATTAGTTTATAAAAAATAAAATAAAAATATCATCCCGGTTTGGGTGGAGTGAAACCCAATCGATTGTATCCAAAATTTGCATTCTTATACACACTAATTATGTTTTGATAATGTGAGCTACCCAGGCTTCTATATATATATAAATTCCTAGTCTCGTTTTTAACTATATTGATCTAGACGAATGAGTGGACTCGAAGGGAACTCGCCGCCTTCATCTCCATTCATTTCCCTTTAGTTACCCTACTAGAATATAGAGGTAAAAGTGATTGACATGATGATCCAAGTCATATAGTTCCTTTTTTTTTTTAAAAATATATTGATTTAGTGAGATAGAATATTAAATACGATAATAAATTTTAATATTAACAGTTTTGAATGGTGTAAATTGAGTTAAAATGTCATTTTATAATAATTTTTACTGTACTCAATATAAATTAATCGATCTATAAATCTCATATCAATAATTGTATAAATAAAAGTCTTATATTCCCTGCCCTACTGAAAGAATGTTACAGAGTTACGGAAACAAACAATTAAAATAAAGCGAAGAATTTGTACAAACCCATTACCATGGGTTGGAATAAGAGTCAAACAACTCGGCAGACATAATCTATTGCTCTGCTCAATCCTAATAATGTGTTATATATATGGTTATCATTATGAACAACAAAAAAATGGAAAACAAGATAGTTGATCAAGAGGGGGACCCCCGACATTTAAACAGTCGAACTGTTTAATCAAGCAGACATCGATCCTCTATATTTTTTTAGAGTAAATCACACGTTTAGTGTCTCAACTATTATTTATATTTCATTCTGATCATTCAATTATTTTTTTAACAATGGTGTAACATCATCTTATAGTGACACGTTAGCATCATCATTAACATATTAACAACAATTGACCAAAATGAAATTAAAACTAAATGTTAGGTATGATTTAAAAAAATAGTTAATAATCAAAATAGCATAAAAGTGATAGTTAGAGTAGTAAACGTATAGCTTGCACTTTCTTATTACTCAAATCCAATTCTTTACTTCTGATCTTTCATCAAATGGACATTGACACAGTTAGGGCCCCATCACCTCGCTGTCTCTTTGTCTTAACGTTTTGACTTGTGTTTCTCTCTTCGAACTCCAAAAAGTTGCAAAATTCATGCATCATTACCAAGTGAGTAACATGATTAAAGAAACATCATCTGATTCTTGTCAACTTTGCTTCAAATGAGAGGGATATGGTCGGTTTTGGCTATGAAATTTGGGTTTTCAAGGCGTATGGCATACGTATAATCAAGCATTTATTGAGTATATCCAAGTATATATTATAGGCTGTTGAGTATTCACATAAATGATAATCCTTTTTAACCTTATAAGTATTTTTTAAAAAAAATATTATCTCAATGGTTAAAATGAGCTTTGTTCTCCCTTAAATTATTAAGTTCGAATAATTATATATACAAATTGTATCTTTATATACACACCTAAAAAGCACTGTTAAGCAAAGAAATATTGAAACCCTAATCAGAGGGTTAAATCATAATATTTGGGAGCTGCAAAACACTGTATCATATATATGCACAAAAGTACAGTTTTTGTTTTTTGTTTACCAGATTTGTTTTCATTTTTCAAAGGCAGACAAGTTTATGCTCAAAGTAGCAATTAATGCCTTCAATGACCACTTTTTTTCTTTTTTTTCTTTTATCTTTCTTCATTTTGTCAAAGTTACAGGTCCGCCCACATATAGTTAAAATCAAAAGATCAGAAATATGATATCTAGCAGCTAGCAGCGTTATTGGACAAATGGATCATTTTAATAGCTCCACAAGCTTTCCCCTTGAGAACTATCCGGCGAGTCATCGTCGGAAAGCGCTGAGCTGATTCTTGGCGGCGACACCAGCAGTCCCTCCGCCATGTCCACCAACAGATTGGGCAGGTTCAAAAGGATATCCTCGTCCACATATTCTTCTGTACTAATTTCCACATCTTTGACCTCATGATGTTGAACTGCCTCTACTAGATTAGACTCGCTAGTTTTATTTTCAGACTTTTTCAGTGACTCAGCGGCGGCTGCTGCTGCTTTTCTTATATCGGCCGACGACGTTGATGCGGGAATCGGATACGAAGCAACGGAGGCAGGGAAGTTAACAACAGCCTCACTACCTTTTAGGGCTAGGGCAGCCACATCATAGGCAGCAGCAGCCATTTCTGGCGTGGGGTACGTACCGAGCCATATACGCGTAGTTTTGCGCGGTTCTCGGATTTCAGACACCCATTTGCCACTCCGGCACCGGATTCCACGATAAATTCCGTGTTTCCCGGAGGAGCTAGAGGCCATAGATAGTAGGGATTTTGGGAGCAGTAGAACAAGAAGGTTAGGGCTCAGTAGTAGTCGGTACTCGCACGTTTTAATACATGTGAATTGGGATCGATGTGGGACTAGGATGTTTGGGTTGCTCTAATTGAGGCACGTTGTTGGATAAGCCATACATACATATATATATATATATATTGAAGGGTTTATACTTTATAGTATCAGCGTTATATTGGAGGGTATTCCATAAAAAAAGCGTGGGAATTTCGTGGTACCCCAAGGCCAGTTGTGTTTTATTGGTGCTTCTTTTAGGTTTTTAGAGTCTGAAGTAGAAAATGATGGCTGAGGGCTGGTGCTGTTTTTTTGGTTTATATAAGCTGTACGCGTTTTATTGGCTAGTGTCACTCTTAGAACTTTACTTGGCTGTTTTCTAGACCATAGTTCGGATATATTGGCTTAGATGCTGCACACGCTCAATACACGATCATAAATGCCTTGCTTGATTTTTAATTTTGTTTCTATGAGTCAATGAGTTTTCATGTAAGAGATTGAGAAGAAGAGTTGTGGATCACATTAAACCGAAACCCGTTTGGTTACATTCGAGGAGGAAGCTCAAAAGTTACTCTGATACTTCTGGAGTTATAATTTGTACATATTAATAATAGGAGTTGTAATCGATCGAATTAGGTATTATTATATGTATAGATATATTTTTAAAAAGATTTTTAAAAATTCTCATTTAAAAATAATTTTAGAAGTTTTAATTTAAAATCAGATAAAAATTAAATTTGGGAGTTGATTACAGATGAAAAGTTTAAAACACCCATTGATGTCCAAAAATTGGTATATATACGTTTTGTGTCAGTCTTATTTAAAGAAAGGTTACGAAGTTAAATCTAAAATACGAAGAATGTATCTAATTGACGAGGTAATCCTTTTGAAAACGAAACTCTCTTGTTGATTTTCAATTTTTTGAAAAGCGTCCATCCTGTTTTACGAGTAATATTATTTTTATCATAAATAATTGACAAGATAACACTCTAGTAAATTAGGATATCGACTCATCAATTCTTATGATACAACGACGTTCTCTTAAAAAATTACATGGATCGGTCTTGGGACACTCAAGTGGTAAACATCTTGATATCTTTTAAGTAAATCTCGAGTTCGAGTCCTTATGTATGCAGAAAATCCCACTGGGGGACTCACCCACTAAAACCATATGTGAATCCCGAATCGGTTCAGATTAGTCAAGACAAAACCTTAGAAATCGGAAGGAGGAAAAAAGTTTAAATCATGAAGAAAAATAGAATGTCCACGAAGGGAGAGCATTTTCTTTAAGCACCAACTAGAACATTCTTGCTGTTCAAACTCCCAAATGTTCCCTATCACAGATAATTAACAAGATAATGCTCTAATAAGTTAGTATATTACATCATTAATTATCATGATATGACTACATTACCTTAATATTTTTAAAACATGAAAATGCTCTTATTTGATGCACGTTTTTAAATTTAATGAAAAAAAACTATATATGTTAGTCATCATAATAATATTAGATTCTAATAATACTGCTAAAAAATATCAATACTCTACGGTACCTATCGATACCACTATTTGGTATTCATACTTAAGACTAATTAAGCCTAAATTAGCTTCTAAAGTAATCAAGAAAATTGAAAATGATTTGTAAGGGTTATAAGCTCAAAGGATGTCTTCATGTGATAAATAATTAAAGTATCCATGTAAAGGGTAAATTTATCATAATGCCCTTGTAGGTGCATAATTACAAAAGTATCTCTATAAGCTTAAATGATAAAAAGTGATGGTTACAATGACCGTCAGAACTGTCCTAAAACTTATATGCAAAGTGGGACGATTTAACAATGTTTTAAAAAGTTATGGGATAAAATTCGATATTTTAAAAAAAGTGATATGAAGTCACTAACGATATTTGGTTTAGACAGGTTGAATACTTAAGAAAACGTATTTTAAAAGAATTTTAAGAAAAAACGTATTTTAAAAGAATTTTAAGAAAAATCATTTTAAAAGAAAAAAGTGGTATGCGTTTAACCAAAAACCCATTTGAAAAATGATTCGGGAGTAAACTACGCTTGGTGAAGGATGAGCAACCCACAATACCCAAAATTAATACCTAATCGATTAACTCATTGTCTTTGGAACGAAAAAATATTACGAATCTGACATTTATTAATTAAAAATCATTTTTCACAAACAAACATTTTGTTAATCCTGAAATTCTAAATATATATATATATATATATATATATATATTTCATCATTTCCAATCAAAGAGAAATAACCTCCCAACGCGAGTTGAAACGACCGTTTCTCTCACCAATTGAAATGGTGAAATTTCATATTTTTCTCATAAAGAATTTCATATTAAGAACAATAATTTTATTAAGCCAAAGTTCTAAGAAGAGATGAATGATATTTCACCATTTTCAATTGAAGAGAAATGGCCTCACAACATAAGTTGAGACAACTATTTCTCTACCAAATGAAACGAAAAGAATAACACTTTCCTTCTAAAGAATTCCCAAAAAACATTTACTAAAATGACAAATTAAAATTTAAATAATTTGTTTTAATTATCCAATCCATTAAAAAATATAAATAATGTTCATTTATTTAAAAATATTTAGTCAAATCCTTTAATCAGTATTAACCAATGTTTCCTTGATAATTTAAATAAGAGAACTTTTTCTTTTCTTCCCTTTATCTTAGTTAATTAAAGCGCACTTATTTTGTTATGTTTTCACTTAATAGGGTATTAAATATTTGGAAATTTCAGATATGGTATTTAGTTGTTTTATTACCACCATTTTCTCAATATTTTAAAATACTAAAATACTACCTTTAAATTTATTATGTGATCGATTAAAGTAATGTTTTATGAAACTAACATACGTATTAATTTAAAGACAGTCTAGAACTATATGTACGAACAAGCACCTTTATATATAATACATTTGAAAACCATGTTAAAGAATGATAAATATTTAATTTTAGCTATATTTATATATATTGGAATCATATGCTAAACTAATATCATGCTGATAAGTTAATACAATAATTGTTAAAGGAGATTAGGCTACACACACACACGCATATATACATATATATATTCGTAAAATATAATAAAGTTATTTTTTATGTAATTAATGTATGCATTTTATCTAAAAATTTAAATGCAATACCCTAATTTTGTCTGGACGGTCCAAATCCATTGAAGGTGGTTGAGTGACTGTTTAAAGACATTCACACTTGGTTGTTAAATTAGTTCAAGTGGCTTGCCTGGGCGAAAGGAGTCGGGTTTTGAGAAATGTCGAACATTTATGCGGGTTCAATAACCATGCAATTGAATTTTAAAGCCGAAAAATGAAAGATCCAAATTAAATCCGAAATTTCATTCGAGCCCATTACATCCTTCAACCCATTTACAAGCCCCGCGACTAGTCACATGCCGATGGTGTTTCATATACCGATCGATGAATTTCATTAAAGAGAATATGAGCTTTATGGCTAGAATAATAATCTTTTGAAAAGAATATTATTATTTCCTAAAGTACAGTAGATTCAAATTAATCTAGGAAGGAAAATAATATATGTTTAATGAGGAGATTTTCAAATCTCTTAATAAGGGAAATAAGGTATTTTTTTTAAGAGAATAAATAGTCATTCTTGAAAATCAAAAAGAAAAAGAGAAGGCGACAGCGGCAGCAAACTCACTGAGGAAAAGGTTCGCGAGTGAAGGAATAAGGAGGACGGAGCAGCTAAACCAATTAAAGATTTGAAAATAGAGCTTGTTGCCCTTCGCGTTGCTAAGGTGCGTGTTCAATCTGATCCTGGCGGACGCCTAGTAATAAGCGGTGAACCTGATCATCCGGATAATCTTTGGGGTGTCACACCGTTCAAAAAGGTTGTCAGCTTGCCGTCGAGGATCGATCCACATCAAACATCAGCAGTCGTAACCCTTCATGGATAGTTGTTTGTACGTCTTCCATTTGAGCAAAGCCGAGCAGTGGAGGTAAGGTGTGGATCGATTAAAACCAGGGGGATAATTTGTGCTTCTGCATTTAGTTATTCGTTTCCACTAGTCTTCTACGTAGTTTTTGGTTTTAATTTTCAAAATTAGTGCAGCAGTTTTACATGTGCCGTGCCCACGCCTTATGCTTACTGTTTTCACTATAATATACATCTGTATTCATATTAATGGCATACTGGTGTCTTAAATTCCTTAGTTAAAGATTTAGTGTGTATGAAAAGATTGATTTAAATAAATTTGGTTGTATGAAGAATTTTTTCATAACATCATTTTGTCTAATTTGTATGATATCCTCATGTGCATAACTTGACTTATTACATAATTGGATTAAGTATAATACCCTTTGAATTTAAAAATTGTTTGAATGACTTGTCTTAACTCATTAAAGAGCCGTTTTTTATGATTTTAAATTAAAAGTGTATCATATTATTGAAATTTAGTTCGTCGCCTTAAAATTTGAGAGTGAAAGAAAAAGAAATATTCAGTTATTTAAATTTTTCGACAAAAGGTTATTAGAACTTATCTAAAATCTGGCCTCGTTATTATTAAATAATTGAATATTCTTCACCTTTCTAACGAGGCTTGGTAATTTTAATTTAATCTATTTTGGGTGCAGATGAATATTATAATGAAATTATAATATTTCTTTATTTCGATTGAAGTAAGAATTAACTACCTCAAGTTATGAGAGATTTATTTCTTCTTAATAGGAAATAATTTAATATTATTATATTTCATGGTAAAATTCATATTTTGGTTGTTCTATGAGATCAAAAATCAAATTAAATTCGAATTTATAAATTTCATTACGAAGACATTAATTAATCGACTAGGTACCAATTTAGGGCACTGTGGGGGTGCTAATCCTTCCCCACACGTAACCGACTCCCGAACTCGAATTTTAGTAACATAGACCTCAAATTTATTGTTTTAATTAAAATTAATATGTTTATTCAAATGACAAAATACGTTTTGGGTGCCCAATCACACCCTAATCAAAGATTGGTGACGACTCCTCGAACCATATATTTTTATTTTTTTGAAAGGAATCCCAAATTTTTTG